GCCTATTACCACCCCTTCTGCGGCACCTGCTTTCCCCCCTGTTGCAGACACACCTACTCTCCCACTTGCTGCTACACGTGTTGTGATACCCACACTCCCCACCCCCCCAAGTTCCAGCCCTACCTGCTTCCACACCTTATGAGTTTGGCCCTTCGACTCCTGCCCCTGTGAGGGTACATTTACTGTAGGTGGGAGACTCTTAAGTTATTTTTAAAAATTATATTTTATTTGTTTGTCATTTTAAATATATTTGTGTAACTATTTTTTTTCTTAAGCAGATTCATTCCTGACAAGATCTCGCACCTGCATCACAGAGATAATCCGGAGCAGATACGATCAACCGTATCTCTCTTGACAACAAATCCTTGCTGCCACTCAAAACTTGTGGTTTAGGGAGTTCAAGGTATGATCAAGTAATTTGAATCAAAATTTTAAATTAAATTTATTTTTTTTACTAAAACATATATTATTTTTTACGTTGCAGAGGTCCTTCACCTAGCTCCCAAAGCTCCACCACCAAATCTGCCAAATTTTCAAGATTCAAGACAAGCATCGGCTTGGGGACTTGTTCACCACTGTCTGCTGGAAGGGCAAGCAGCCTGCCTGGATCAGTGATGGGCTCTGGGGTCAGTTGATCGTAGCCTGGGCCTCTCCTGCTTATGAGAGGAAAAGGCAGAAAAATTAGGTGATGGGCTCTTGGGTGCCTTCATATTTGAGAATCAGTCCCTATACGAAGCATTACAGAAGACTGGTAAGATTCTCTTAAAATTTTAAAAATTTAATCTTTGATGTAATTATGTGATGCTAACCAATCTTATATGCTGCATAGGCTAAGGAGTTGAGCCATGGGCCCTTCGTTCCTGAGTTGCATGTCTGAACCCATCGACGCCCAGAGACACATCAGTGGGTTTCAGAGAATTCCGGGTGGGCTTCTGTAAGTAAGAAAAAAAAAAAAAAACTAAAACAAATTTTTACTCTTACTATTCGAAGTAACAATTAAACACTGGTTTTCATTATGTAAAAAGAAATTTGAGTAGATCTGGGAGAGGCACTTTGCCACTTAGCCCCAGACTTCCACCAACAATAGTGATAGTCATTCTACCACAACACAGTCTGGTTCGAGCTTTGGACTCAGGCGGCGGGCAAGAAGCTGGGGAGGGTCTATGTCGTCCATGCAAAGAGCATAACCATCAAAGTCGAGATCTCTCGTGGTCTAGTATTGAGTTTCTCGAGCTCCTTACAGCTAGATTAGGATACTCTTGCCAGGCAGGTCGTTGCAATAAACAAAGAGCTCTGCCAATTGCGTGAACAAATGCTATATGACCAATATATGGTCGAGGATTCTATAGTGCCCATGACGGAGAGTAAAGTTGATCGCCTGGGCAAGCGGTCAATGACATCCATAGAAGAGGAGGAGATGACTGGTAGGAGTTATTTCTTATGTTTTTCTTTATTTTTCAGCATTACTTTGAACATTTATTCTAAATTTTTTGGTTAATTTTGTTGTTGTTATTTGGGAATATTTATGACGATTGTTTACTTTTCATTATTGATATTTGTTTGAGCTATAATCAGTGTTGATGTGGTAGGATAAAATGTTGTTGTGATATGAATTCTTTGTTGCGTGCAGATTGTGGAAATGTAATTGTTTTTTTTTATAGGTTTGCAGCTGATTTGCATCCTTTTTGCGTCGAATATTCTGACGCTCAAACGACAATAATTTTTCGCCATTCTTCGATATTATTTGCCGCAAATTCGACATATAAGTTTAACGTCTGATTTGAATTCAAATGCACGCTCAACCTCAACGAAAACTAACACTAAGTCAACATCGATAAGACACAAATACATTACAACGAATTTTTTCAACGCTAAAGAGTCACAAATTGTATTATTAACCCACAATTTACCAGAAAAACAAGAAAAAAACAATACAGACGTAAAACAGATATAAATCCGACGATAACCATCAAATATCCTTGGATTAGCCTCTTATTTACGTCTTATATGACCGACACAAATTTATCAAATTTCTGTAGTGTGGACACCACCACACAAATTTATCAAATTTCTGTAGTGTGGACACCATCTTGATTGCAATTTAAAAAAAAAACCAACTCGAACAACAAAATCTAAGAGAAGGTTGTGATAAGATTGGCACCAATAGATTGCTCTAAAAATAGGACATTTTAATGTTGGATATCTTTCACTGTATACATTTTTGTATTTTATTGCCTTCATAGTTGTGCACTTGTCTAAGTAATTATCTATATTTTCCATGTATTATATTTTAATCCCATGCTTGATTAACGCTTATTAAATGCAGGCTCCTAATCAATGACGCCATGAACTTCTGTTACCATGCTATCATTCATTATTGCATATGTTGCATTCAGTTAACACAATACTTATAGCTTAGATGTTCGTTTGTTCAAGTGGCTTATATTCTGAACATCTTCTTATAGGTCATATAAATTCATATTTATGATCTTACCTATTTTGTAAGTGCTTATGTCAGCATTCACATACGTTTGCTTAAGTCTAATATTTTATTGTATAAATTTATTAATTTCTATCACATCTTAAATAATTAAATAAAAATAATTTTCGTATGTAATGATTAATTTTAATTTTCTCACTAGTTCTAACATATTTGATTCATCATAATCTAGAAAAATTATTTCATACGGACGACTTATGCAGATATACATTCGCCGTCTGATCTTCACCGTTGATCAGAGTTCCCATTAATTTTCTTTTTTTAAAAAAATGGGTCCACCGAAATACAACTTTGATCTGATCAACGGTGGAGATCGGACGATAAATGCATCTCTGCATACGACATTCGTATGGAACAATTTTTCTCATCATCTAATACCAATTAACGATCAATTTCAATCGTTCATCAACCAATAATATTTAACATTTGTATTCGACGGATGAAAATTTTGCTGTTACAAGTCAAGCCATGTTAATTGTTATATTGCACCTTTTTTTATTTTTTAAATTGGAGAGGATATAAAAAATTTAAAAATTAAAAATTTATATTAAATAAAAATAGCTAGAAATTGGTACCTTGGTCAACTGGTTGTTGACCAACCAATTTGCTGCCGTGCCGAGACAGTTGACTATTTAAGTCACAGTTGGGGGCGGTCCCAGCAGCCAAACAGTCCCCCCGCCACGTGTGCTTTAATGGTCCCGGAGGTTGCCAGATGCCTCGCAGATCCATTAATTATGATTGTCACCATGACATAATTGTCACGTCTATTATATATATATATAAACAACATACATTCTTATATAATTTTATTTGTGACATTTATATACATACCATACAATTATTATCTATTTATATATATTTAACTTCTGCACATTTATATTTATATCTTTAACAATACAACAAAAATATATCATCACTATATTTTCAAAAGTTAATACTTTTTCATATAAGCTGTTATGAAATGAAAATAATAAGAATGTAAATATTAAATTTTGGGAGTTTGATATGTAAATTCATAAGAATTTGTATGGTATTTATGTAAATTTTCCAATAAAATTTTTTATGTAAATTTGAATTTGCGTATAATCTACTCCTCATATTAAACCAAATATAGTTAAAACAATCAAATTTGACAGATTAACAACCCTCGCTCGTGTCAGATTATGATAAAATTATTAAGAATATAATGAGACAACCCATTGAATTTTATAATGCATACAACATATGTGTATACAAAGGATCATTCAATGCTAATGATGTTGTTGTGATTATGAGGTGGATAGAACTTGAGGTCAATTTTTGTATAGCATTAATTGCCAACCCACTAATTTTAGCTTGACGGAGCAATGGATGAATAGTTAAGATGATTGTTGTAAAACAAGTTTTGGTTATGTATCCAAGAGGTGGATGGAGGTGGTTATGACTTTATTATTGCCCGCACGACAAATTGATGAGTCAATGATTTGGATTGTTAACTTATGTTGAAGTCATTAGAATTATCTTTTGGGTAGTGCTTTGGTCAGCATGCCAACTAATATATATTGAGTGTTGGTTTGCAACACTTTGATCTGGTTGCATATGATATGTTGGCTACCTATTTGGTAATCAATTTCAATACACACAATATGTGGCTAGAAAATTAGATTTTTGGTGATGGTTACGGTTGCTCTGTTCTCAAAATGGTTTTGGATTTGTTGATTTATGAAATGAAGTCTTGTTCGGCATTGCCTTCAACTCTAAGACAATGAGCCTCTACTTCCTTTCTCAATGATGTACTTCATTCAACTGGCAAAAGAACCTCCTTCACTTCATGAAGATCATCTCTAATGCATTTTTTCAATGTGGGGGCAACCATCACCACAGTCTCGAAAGGTCATTCACGTCAACGTCCCAGACATGATTGTAGTAGGTTTGTCTTCTCACATTTTATTCAGACATGAAGTATTTCATTATTTCTTTAAGGAAGTAACCATCACAGCAGCCTCGAAAGGTCGTTCACGTTAATGTCCCTAGCAAGACTATGGTGGAGAAGGCATCCCATATTTCTTTTAGATTACCAATCTTCAAGAATCGCTCATGGACTGAGGAGCAATCTTTACTGCAAATAACGCTTCTTCAGCCCCCTCTCATCGTACTAGAGTTCTTCTTTAACTTAATCAAGAAACCAATTTGTTCAAGACCCGATACATATGTTATTTTACAAGCTCGCATGGAGAACACCTTTGCTGGGAGAGCAAAAGATTCCAAAGAAACAACTAACAAGTTGTCAAACATTTTTCTTGAGTATAACCGCTATCATATTTCTGAAAAAACATACAGTCAATTGTAACCTACACCTTAGTCTCGAGAAACACAGAGAATCTCTGACACCTCATTATGAGATTAATCGATCCCAAGTGGGCTCAATTTGACCTCTTCCATCACAGGTTACAGTCGTCAAACGAAAGCTTCGACATATAGCCTTGGATAGGCCAAAACTCTTTGGTGGATTTCCTTCGACCTCTTTCATTACAGGCTACAGTCGTCAAGAAAAAGCTTCGATATACAACCTTCAATAGGTCAAAAATTCAGGGTGGATTTTCTTCGACCTCTTCTATAACCGGTTATGGTAGTCAAAAAAAAGCTTCAACTAACAATCTAGGATAGGTCAACCATCCTCAGTGGATTTCATACAACTTTGTTTATTATGGGTTAATATTGTTAAGCACTTCGATTATACAACTCAAAACTAGTTTTACATCCTTAATGGATTATTCCTTCAACCATGCCTCTGGAAATCAAGCCTAAGAAGCAAGTCTCGATGAAAAGCTAGTAGCGGATATGGTCCTCAGTAAAAAGACTCCACAAGAGCAAGTGGTTGACAGAGTCTCCACTCAAATCTACTATAAGGCATAAGTCTGAGAGGGCACAACTTCAAAGGGCATTCTTCTTAAAAGAATTTTGCACGGTTAAGATGCCACAACAGCCATGGAAGCGATAAAGAAAAACATTATCATCATCTACAAATGTTACATCAAATGATTAAAAAGACTACCAATACCAACATATACTTGTATAAAGGCAACAGCAAATCAGCTCATCTTCAAGCAGAGTCGGCATCGCCTCCCTAAAATTACAGTATTTCTGATGATCGTCATGGGGTCTCCGGATATTTCCGCCACATAAGCATGAAAATCTTTCCCTCAAAGCGCGGTGGGAAAATTACAACATTTCTTCATCACCTCCGAAATAAACCGCAACGAGAAAGAAAATCTCATTGCTTGCCTACTACGCAAGACGGGGATGACTTTCCTCTTTGCTCCAACTCTGCACTGCAACCCTACACCGGAACTCTGCTCCGCAAGTCTGCACTGTAATTCTTCACCGAAACCCTGCGC